AATATATGATAATACATATAAATAAATGTAATATGTAAATTTTTTTGGTTAATTACTAATTCATATAATATACGTCACATGACATATAACATTAAAAAAATGTATATAAATAAACATAAATTGTCATTGATTTTAACAGTATTTAGAGGTTAATAACAAAGAGAGATTAGTTCAAACATTTTTAATAGTTATATAGACGAATTTGATATAAAATCAAAATAGATATTAAATCTAACAAACATAAGTAGTACAGAAATTAAATTGATATTTTAGTCTTTTAATAACTATGGCTGCGAAGTAAATATGACAAAAATAGAATTGCAAGTGATTGGTAAATCATTCCGTACATGCCTCACTCTCATAAAATCATAAATTAGAATTTAGAATATTTCATTACAATTTTCAATTGTGAAGGAACAAAAAAAAGAAAAAAAAGGAACAAAGATTTACCACATGTAAATTTCTCAAAATGAATATATAGGTCAGTCCAAAAACACCTCTAATCTCCCGTTTGTTGAGTGTTAGAATATTAGCAAAATGGCATTGAGAGGAATTGAAAGGGCCCCCATCAAAATCTGGGTTCATAACTACACTGCAGAATGAGAGGAAGCATCGTCTTTCCGGAAGCATGCTTCTGGCAACCTAAAGCTTAAGCAAAACATTGCCTGAACCATAGCCATGGTTAATAAGAAATTATATTACTAAGAAAAAGATGAGTTTAATTAATGTGGTGAAAAAACCTAAAATAGTAAGAGTGCAAGTAAAGCATAGCACGTATAGAGGAACTCGGTTATTTGTCAAATGCTTTGTGATAGTAAAATGAATAAAAAATTATATTATTACTCTGAAAATAATATACCCAGTTGTAAGTGTACACAAGTACCAAATACCCATCTATAGTTAAACAAAAAACAAAGGAAAATAGCTGCTCCAAATATAATAGAAACATCAGGAAGTCGTGCTGCTTAAAACTGTAAAAAATACAATATCACTTCCATTAATATGATGGTGTGGAATATTTACTTTTCATTCTTTGGCATATTTTGGTCAGCAGGAACCATCTACTATTTTTGTAGACAAAGAAGAAAGATAGATCTCCAAAGAAGTTTTTTAAGTTAGTTCGTTCATACCTTGTTCGGAGCAACATCCCTGACCCTATGAAATATTGGGTTTTCTACCCGGGCATTTAGCCTTGATTCTGCCTCCTAGAGGATTTAGAATAGCAAGTTAGATTAGACCAAAGAAAACAGGAAAATTGAGGGTAACTTTTCTTTTGCGGAGCAAGACCTACCAATATTATATATTCTTCGGATTCATTAGCCCGGATAAAGCAGTAGCAATGAATCCAAGGAAGAGGGCCCTTCCAATATTTCCTCTGAGCAAGGCCACTGAATGCATCTGATGAAAATTTTCAAAATTAATACTTCCTCGACTAAATTTTCTCAGCGAGAAACAGAAGTCGAACAAAAGAGGCTACTCCACGTAAACAAAATTTAGAGGGTCATCATTGCATAACAGAATTACACTGCTACCAAGAAAGGGCATCAATCTTGAAGCAGAAAGGTGCAAATATCCCCAGATGAATAAATAAGACCAATGAGGCCAGCTTCTCTAATGAAAGAAGCACCTAAAAGAACATTTACAAGAGAGAATGACATTAAAACAGAACTAACATGATGGAGGAAAAATTATTTGCGGAGACACATCAAACTGGTGTTTTGTTTATATCATATTTAACAAATCTTCAGCATCATTCTAGAGGAGTTGATACAAAATTGAGAAACTCTCGCAATATTCGATTGAATAACTAAATGATAATATCAAAGAGGTTGCAAAGGTACTTTAGACTGCTAAGTAAACCTAGACTAAAAAATATTAAGACTAATAAGATCACAAATAGTACTTTCAATGGGGTCAAAAATTCTAATACTAACAAAATTGGAAATAACACTACTAGTACAAATAGAAAAACTAAATACTAACAAAAATAAAACCCAAAGTTATTAAAACTATAATAGTAGCCTCCTAAATAATACAATAGTTTTATATAATAGAATTATGATTTCTAGTCTATTTAGGAAATTTATAGCTAATCCATCCTGCATCATAACAAATTGCAGCAAATCAATGAATTTTAAATCATATCCAAAAAGAGTGTGGAAATGATACAACCAACTTTACAAGTTAGTGAAAACTTATATTTAGTACTTTGAAGGAGATAGCAATCAGTAAAGTTCTCCAATCTCCATGAAGAAA